TATGTTCCTGATTTTGTGTTAAATGTCCGTGACCCGTCTGTGACCCTTCCGTGACCCGACCATGACCCGTCTGTGAAGTCCGTGACCCGTCCGTGAGTTTCCGTAAGTACAGAAATTCCTGAATTTACACATTGTTAAAGACAGTAGGAGTAAGAGGAATAACAGTAAGGTAATGAGGGAGATTAAGGGTAAATGAGGGAGGTTAAGGGTAAATGAGGGAGATTAAAGGTAAATGAGGGAGATTAAGGGTAAATGAGGGAGATTAAGGGTAAATGAGGGAGATTATGGGTAAATGAGGGAGGTTAAGGGTAAATGAGGGAGATTATGGGTAAATGAGGGAGGTTAAGGGTAAGTGAGGGAGATTAAGGGTAAATGAGGGAGATTAGGAGTAAATGAGGGAGATTAAGGGTAAATGAGGGAGATTAAGGGTAAATGAGGGAGATTAAGGGTCAATGAAGGAAATGAGGGAAAGAGGGAAGGGAGATGAACGTTGGGGAAATAAATACCAAAATAATGAAGTAATTAGTGGAGTACAGAAGCGAAGTGAGAGAGAGAGAAGGAAAGAGAGAGGGAGAGGGAAAGAGAAATAGAGAGATGAGGAAAAGGCAAGAATGAGGAAGAAAGTAAATAAAATGAAGCAGTGATGGAATAGGTAAGTAAATGGCGAGGAAGAAGATATAAGGAAAAACGAATAAATGATAAGAAGAGAATTAGGAAGTGATAAGAGGAGCTAAAGAACGAAAGGAGGAAGAGACAACACGTACAAATAGACGAAAAACTCATAAGAATAAAGAAGTAGGAGAATAGGCATAAAGAGAGACTGAAGTAGGGTAAAGAGAATAAAGACGGAGGTATTAAGAGAAATGAACGAGAAAGAGAGAGAGAAATCAACACCCAGATTATGAAAAGTAACATATATTAATCTCAATGTAACTTATAAAACACTATTTACATCACCAGTTCCGTGTTGTTCCTTAAGTGAGATACTTTAATTAAATCTTCACTTATAAAAATTTATTTACGAATTTTTAAGAATCTATGTTTGAGTGAAAATACAAATCTTATTTTTTTTTCTGTATAAATGATGATGATGATGTCAATACAGAAATGTGTTTGTGTAATGCTCTTGAAATCACTGTAACTGTAGTTGTTTATGTATTTGTATAGTTTCAAAGGCGCTACCTCGAACTGTATTTAGACGGAATTAGAATATTATTTTTAACATTTGAAGTCACTAGAATTACGTCAAATGGATGTATTACTTTTGTTAGGATTTTAATTATAGTATTACGGCAAAACTGTAAATTATATTGATTGGTAAATAAAAACTACGGATGAAGAATAGTAATATTAATAAATTCGTTTCAAATTAACTGTTGGTGAGGGGTAGTGGTGGTGGAAAAGGTGGTGAGGGTGTGATGGAGAGTGATGGTGTGAGGGGATGGTGATGAGGTTGGTTGTGGTGATGGTGAAGAGACTTAGACACACACACACACACACACACACACACACACACACACTAAACACACACACACATACACACACTAAACAAACACTCCTTATGTGCAACTTAAATAATTTCCTCCTATCATCTTGCACATCAACAGTGTCAAGACGCATAATAAAGGCGCATAACGAGCTTCTTTAACCGTGTTCTGTAATCATTGACTTGTAAGGTGTTTTGGACAACTTATCGAAGAATCTGATACACTATATATGAATCGTAACTCAAAGGAATATTCTGCAGCCATATCACGAGGAAATATTTTACAACAGAATTTTTGGAAAAGCGTTCTTGATCTACCTGGTTGAATATTCAGAAAAAAAAAATATCCTTATACCACATCTGAAAATGATATCCAGGTATTATAAAACAGTGTTGTGTTCTTGACCGTCTTAGAAGCGACACTCCCGAAAGATGTGAAAACGACTCCCTGTAAAGAATGATTCGGAAAACGTATTGTTGGTCGGATTCGTGCAACAAACCCTGACGATGTATGTTAGTGATTCCTTTCCTAAAGTAGGATACCTGAACGTTAGTCTAAATCAGCGTGTCGTGGAGGGAGGAAGGCCATGGAATCTCGTGTCGGAATGTCCTGATCACGACAGTAAGATGAACGAGTCACCTGAGCCAGACGGAGATGACTCCCTGGGACACACTGGTCGGAGGCATCACTAGTCGAGTTGGGAAATTGAGTTTCTCTTTTCCATATACCAGTCACATCGAATAGACCTTTCGTGTGTTCGGGATTCACTCAAGAATTCTTTGAAAAAAAAGAAGTGTTTGTCACCCTAGTGTTTGATACGGAGATACTGCCTGTAGTTCCAATCTTGATCAGAGGTTCGTGGATTCACTTCAGAATTCTATATCAGTGGCTGGTGGAAGTGTTGCCTGATGCTATTTTCTATAATTTAACGATATATTGTTTGATTCACTTCAAAATAACTTAAAATGGCCTCTCTAGAATTCTGTTTTTTTTATATAAATTTACTAAATGCTAGAACAGTTAAATCATAGCTGTTTAGAAGTGTTTTTTTTTTCTCCTACTGTTTGTTAAGGGAACTATAACACCGTTTAATATTTGCTTAAAGGTGATCTACTCCCGGGATACATATCTTCAGTCTAATGTACTGTACTGTAAACCGACCAACACGTCACTCGACACCCGGAGATGTAATGGGAACTACTAATATCGTTTTTACTAAGCACTTGGTCACTGCTGTGTCTAAATTTTAACTTCCTATCACAAACTACAATATAACTCGTAAGTGCCTCGTATACGCCTCAGGCGGCACATGAAGACCGAATATTGTACCTTAAGTCATTTATCTGGTGAGGTGTATGGTGGTTGGGCAGGTGAGGTGATTATTCGCTCACCTTTGTTCCTACCGAGTGAAAATAATTATATCAATTTAATACTGATAATTAGTAACCACAAATCAGGTAGAGATACACAATTTGGTGGGTGTCTCAACATTTTAGGATTCTGGTGGAGACATTCGCTGTCTTATTAATTCTCAAAGTTATCAACGCCGCTTTATCTCTTAGAAGCTTAAATTATAGACGAAAGGCTGTTGTCGTCTTCTTTTTTTTTGTAAAATATTCGGAGGAGGAAAACAAGAACGTGAAAATTACTTCCCAAGAGCGACGGATGCTTACGTCTTGTGTTACCAAGATGTTATTCTCTCCAGCAAATAAAACCAAACCATTACTGAACTATGAGTTTCACAGGAACGAATCATTCCCAAATTGATAATAGTGTTTTCAAACTTTAAGCTTTGATGACAACACTCAGTATTTCCTTCTTGTTAAAGTTTGACGTAGTTCAGTGTTAGTTTATTGTCATTCGTTGTTTCGTTGTTCCACCAAACACTACCAGATCCATCATGGTGTCACCTGTTGTAGTGTCCGCTATGTAAACAATGGCATGACTTACACTCGTAGAGGGAGACAAAATATCACGTTTTGTTGCCTTCACTCGATTTTTTTTGGCACGAAAGGTTATAACATCATTTATTTATATATAGAATAACATGAACTTATGAACACAGTGACACCGAACATTCTACTAATTGCAGACATCCTCACACAAAACTTCTTCCAATAATATGCACTTCTGAATGTTATGCATAGCCATTAAACTTTAAATACACTAAACTACACTACCAAGTGTTGCATAAGAATAAACTTTTACCTGAATGACGACGAAGTGAATATAAATCTGCCTTGTGTTGATGTTCACGCCACAACGTCTAACTTCCAACTGTTTACGACTACAAATCAGAATTCGTCAGTGAAGTGTCCAAACTTTTCAGTGTCTTTGGAAAATAAGTATTATCGGGTTGTATGTATGTATGTGACGTGAACCATGACCAATTACTGAAACACAGGTTAAGCCACAGGTAATTTATGTCAAGTCTATTAAAACACTGTTGTTATTAAAATAGTAATCAGTTTAATACTCGACACCATTATTGAGCTTGAGTAAACATGATAAAACTTTCTCCAAATCCTCCTTAGAAATTTGGGGAATCATTTTGAAAGTTTCTTAGTTCCTCCTCTGCTACCATCACTTGCTCGGCCGTCTGGTAATCTGTTGGTGATAGCAATAATCTTAAACTGTTAGAGAAGATATTTCCAGTGTGCCATTTCTGTTTTTTCAAGATGGGACGTTATTATACTGACCAGAGGTAAAGTTTGCCCTCTTTGTTAACATGCCACATCACCAACAATATCCGCAGCTATTTTCATATACGATATCTTGACACTACGGTGATGTCTCCATGTAAAGGACTTCTTTCTCTATACAATTCGTTAAATACAGGTTTCATTGTACGTTGCTCCTGAAGACGACCCCAAGATGTAAACAAAACACTGTCCAGGTTATTGTGTGTCGTTATTTTGATTGGACTAAAGCAACAATGATAACGATAATAACTAATAATAACAATAATAATAAACAATAGTAATAATAATAAAAAATCCTAAGTAATCGATGAACTTACCTAACACATGAAGCACTCAAAAGAAAATGTCAAAAGAAACTCAGGGGGCATTATTGTATTTCTCATTTTATTTCTCCTTATTTATTTATTTATTTATTTATTTATCTTGGTTCTATATTTTTACTCTTGGGGATTACGGAGAAAAGGCGTCACTCTTCACCTCTTAGCATAAGGGTGAAGATGTAGTGAAGGAAACAGAACGTATGACCCTTTTGCTCTGATGACGACAAAAGTCATTTCTTTATCCATCCGTCAGCATTTTTTTCCCTGTCGTGGTGGTGATAGTTGTAGTGGTGGTAGAAGTAGCGGAGGTGATAGTGGTAATGGTTGTAGTTTTAGCGTTAGTTGTGGTGGTGATTGACAGTGGTAGCGGTGGTGATAATGGTAGTGATAGTCATAGCGGTGATACCATTCATAACTCTTCAAATCATTCTTTGCTCACGTTAGAAAAAACACGATAATTTGAGTTACAATGGACAATAACAACACCAATCAACAATTTCGATTTATATATAACAAACTTTATAAACTTCTCAATAAATTATCTGTAACACTTGAGTAACGACCATAATATCATTAGCTTTTAAAACATGAAGTTCACTTGTGTTTTGAATGCTCAAAGAATAGTATCAATAAACCATGAAGGAGTTAAGATAAAAACACATTCAGAGCTAAACTGTTTTCACCATTCAATAAAACTAAAAGATGTATTTTTTTTTTTGGTTCCAAGATATAAAATATATGGGCGTCCTTACAAAACACAATAATTAAAATACTCTACAGGATATACATATCAGCACTTCATGTAAGGCACTTTTAGGTAAGGCACTTAAAACGATGGATTGTAGGTATACATGCTTAGCTCACTCAAGTATGTATACTAGTGAATATTTATACTGGGTACGTGTCATAGGTCCACATACAACCTTGACCCCCTTCAGAAGCAGACTAAACAAACCTCAACTAGGTGATAACTGACGCCCTTCCTCCCGAGTAATGCTCGCCTGTATCTGTCTCAACTACTTTAAGTGAGGAATTTTGTGACATTAAATCTGTTTGTAAAGGGATTCAGATTCCCTTTGCCATCTCAAAGGGTTGATTACTGATTATAGTACAGCTGTAGATGGGTGACAAAGTGAGCATCATAATTCCTGTTGAGTTAGGGGTTGACTTGGGGCTTTAGGAAATCAGGTCCCCCAAAATTGGTTCCCGAATATTTGGTTTCCTGAAAATTAGGTCCCAAGAAAATATAGTTGGAAAAAAAAAACCACCGAAATTATGAAAGGAATAAAATAACTGTACTTGTTTAGGTATTCTAGTATGTTTTAGAAGAAGAGTAAAATGCACATTAAAGCACAAACACACGTTAGGTAAACTGTGCAAAAGACTTCAAAAATTCATGTCAAAAAAAAAGCAAATAAAAAAATTACAATTAATAAAAGTTTACAAAGGATGTGAACCACAATACTTATGTAAGGACCTTCAAATAACCCATGGTAGTTTTCACCAACAGTTGCCAGGTGTTTATAAAGGGGTCTAGGCAGTCAGTTTCCAACCTTCGTCTATTAACCACAGGGGGATCAGTTCTCAACAGTCATCCAACCTTTGGCTAGTAAGCAGAAAAACAATTACCCAAAATGACAGGGTGTTTTTTTTTTTTTTTTTTTTAAAGTCTGAGATGAAAACGTAAATAGATTAACGAATTGAATTACATTTACGACTTTGATAAAGCTAGTGCAGAGTCCTCCACATTTCTGGCTCTGTGAAAAGGCGTCTTCGTAAAGCCCGTACACTCACTGTGCCGGATACCGCAGAATCAAGTTTTTGTCTACGTCGGGAGCAAGTTCATCCGACGTTGAGGCGAGGGTTCATGTTACAGAACTAAAATAGCAGGTACAGACCGGTATGACTTCCAGGATTAGTAATCTTTTATCCGTTACTGTTTAAAGCCTCTCCAGTTGGTCGGCAGCATACTGTACTGTATGTGCACGAATGAATTAATGTCCTTCCCTCATGCTGTCATTCTTTTACCTATTAAAACTGAGGTAACAGCTTTGAACCCTAGCTAGATAATGTTTGATTTCGAACGAACTGTTCAGAACATTTGACGTCGCAGATTTGCAGACTGCACTACAGTTTGCGGCTTTCTTCATTGACGTCAACTTGTCTCCTGTAGAATTTGCCAACTTGGGTTTAAGGTTCAATACTATATGAACATTTATTTTTTCTATGAAAAGAAGAATGTTGTGGGTTCTTGTCTTTTACCCGAGAAACATGTAGATACTTTTGAGGGACAGGATGAACCGGTGCCGATAAAATTCATTAGCTATTTTGAACGGACATACGTCGGTGCTCTTAGGGTCAGACGCAGGCGTCGTGGAACATCTTTGTTTCCACTTTCATTGTGGAATGTTCATCACAGTTATTAATGATTTGCCAAGGACTAACAATGCACTGGAATCATTAATTTGCCAAGGACTAACAATGCACTGGAATCATTTATTTGCCCGGCAAAAGAAAGAAGCACTTTTGTAGAGAAGCGACTCAGGCATTAATAACACCGTGCAGCAATATGATGCAGCGGTGAAATGGGTTTTTGAAGGTCATTACACATAAAGTGACTGTCTTTAACCGATTTTATTAATGTGCATGTTACGTTTATTTTTTTAATACTGGATAAATATACAAATGCATTTATAGTATTGGAGGTTTTTAAATTTGAAAGGTTAGATTTGTTAGCTTATACTCTTACGGTTAATTGAGTGCACGTGTAACATGACACTCCATCCCTCAAACTGCTCGACCAGTGACCCACACACAGGTGACAACACCCAACTAGCAGAGAAGAATAAATATATATCTATTTGTTATACTTTTTGCTCCTTTATTGGAATCGATAAAAAATCACCATCACAGTTATCTTCGATCTTTGTCGTCGTGTAAATTATAAATTTCCCATCACAATAAAAGCATCTTGACCAAACAAATCAACCCGTCAGGTGTTAGCGCTCTCCTGAACATATATCACAAATTTTCCAGGGATTACTCTCCGGGACCAACTTTCACAGTGCACATTATTTACTCATTATTTCCCGAGGGACCGAATGTTCGGAGACCCAATTTTCCAGCATTAGTGCAAAAGAGGAGGTACTGACGGGAGCAGCACCGGCACGGAGAGATTCTTGTATTCCTGAAGGGACCAAAACACCCTCAGACCCAGGATCTTGAAGACTGGCAGACACTCCCTCTGCACCTTCTGCAGGTAGCGGAAGCTCATGTGTTCCCTCCAACTGAAGGCCTGCTTCTGGGTGTTACGCGAGGTGGTGGACCCCTTGATGTCTGCAGTTTTTGTTTTACTCAAGATCTGAACCATACGAGGAGTAATCTCGAAGTCCAAGAACTTCCAGAGATCCATCATGGTCTTGGAGGTGTTGAGGGTGAGGTCCTCGTACCGTACAAACATGTACCTGTGTGGTCGACACACGAATTAATTCATATCTTTTAAATTAAGAAACCACATAATACATATACAGGTTCACTGAGAGATATAAACACTGGTACAGATACAAAAGGTCACTTAAGTTATCTTGCATGATATCAGGTCAAAACAATATTTTCAACGCATCGGAAATGTTTGAAGGCAATGGAGTCAGAACGAAGGGGAGGGGAGGGGGTAGCTACACATTGTAATAACTGTGAACAAGTGACCCACCTGCGTGAACAAGTGACCCACCTGCGTGAACAAGTGACCCACCTGTGAACAAGTGACCCACCTGCGTGAACAAGTGACCCACCTGTGTGAACAAGTGACCCACCTGCGTGAACAAGTGACCCACCTGTGTGAACAAGTGACCCACCTGCGTGAACAAGTGACCTGCACCCACCTGTGTGAACAAGACCCACCTGCGTGAACAAGTGACCCACCTGTGTGAACAAGTGCCCACCTGCGTGAACAAGAACAAGTGACCCACCTGTGTGAACAAGTGACCCACCTGTGTGAACAAGTGACCCACCTGTGTGAACAAGTGACCCACCTGTCCGGGTACTGGCGACGAAGGACGGGGACGAGTAAGAGGTCTTGCAGAAGGTTGCTACAGACGGCCACTAAGTTACTACACTCGCCCACACACCAACTCCGTACCCTACCTGTCCTACGGGAGCTGACGAAGGAACGATGCAATTAAGCCAAGTTAGATTAGTTTGGAATCGATTAGGTTAGGTATTAAATCGAATTAGATAAGCTTAAATTAAGATAGGTTTAAGATGGGTTGGTATAAGTTGTTTATATTAAATTAACTTAAGCTTGGTTGGCTTAGGTTAGATTAAACAAGGTCCTGTTGGGTTTATTTGGATTAGGTTAGATTTAATTAGAAAAGTGAAGTTAAGTTGGTTTAAGATAAATTAGATTACATTAGGTTTAAGTTCAAATGATTTAAGGTAAACAAAGTTAATGCAAGGTGTGATTAGGTTAGGTTAGGTTAGGTTAGGTTGAATCATATCAGGATACATTGGGGTTTGACTAGTTAAAATAAAGTTAGTTTGGATAAAGATAGAGATTAAGTTCGATTTATTTTGGTTAAGTTCAATAAAATTCAGTTTGGCTGTGATGATTTACGTTAACTAAACTAGGTTATGTTGAGTTGACTTTGGCTATGCTAGATTAAACTGGGTTAAGATGGGTTAGTTTTGGATTATCTATTTATTTATGGTTTGTGGGGGAATCAGGGTTACGGCACACCTAACGACAAAGGTTACGACACTCCTAACATGACAAGGTTACGACACACTCCTAACATGACAAGGTTACGACACACTCCTAACATGACATGGATGATTAACTGCTTGGAAGGTCAAGTCTGGTGAACGAAGACGATGTGAGCTTCCGGAATTGCATATGAAAATGCATTCTATGAGTTGAGACTAGACCCCACAACACGAGAACTAGACCATAGAGAGTTGCAACACGAGAACTAGACCCCATGAGTTTGCAACACGAGAACTAGACCCAAGAGTTGCAACACGAGAACTAGACCCCATGAGTTGCGACACGAGAACTAGACCCCCATGGTTGCAGAGAGAACTGAAACCCCATGAGTTGCAACGAGAACTATTAGACCCTCATGAGTTGCAACAGGTAAAACAGTGGACCCCATGAGATGCAGTAGGTAAAGCAGTGGACCCCATTAGTTGCAACAGGTAAAGCACTAGACCATGAGTCGCAGCAGGTAAAGCAGTAGACCCCATGAGTTGCAGCAGGTAAAGCAGTAGACCCCATGAGTTGCAACAGGTAAAACAGTGGACCCCATGAGTTGCAACAGGTAAAACAGTGGACCCCATGAGTTGCAACAGGTAAAGCAGTGGACCCCATGAGTTGCAACAGGTAAAGCAGTGGACCCCATGAGTTGCAACAGGTAAAGCAGTGGACCCCATGAGTTGCAACAGGTAAAGCAGTGGACCCCATGAGTTGCAACAGGTAAAGCAATGGACCCCATGAGTTGCAACAGGTAAAGCAGTGGACACCCATGAGTTGCAACAGGTAGAGCAGTGAACCCCATGCGTTGCAACAGGTAAAGCAGTGGACCCCATGAGTTTTGACAGGTTGAGAAGCTCTTCATGATAACTATGCCTTGGGTATGCGAGACCCCAAGGGAACATGTGTTTGTTCCAGCAATGACCAGTCACTGATAATTAAAGCCAATAGTGAGAAGAAAAAAAATGTAACAGCGGAGAAAATAAGAAACGTCCCAATGAATTATCAGAGTAAAATGAGAGAAAATGACGTGGGTTAAAAAACTATCTGGCGAGTGAACCGACTCCCAGTACATCAATCAGTTACGTGAAAGCAATTCCTTGACAAAACCAACTGTTGTAATGACCAATCCTTCAAAAACAAACATTACGATGCGGCTGACTAATAGTGGTGATCCCCGTCATCGTAGGTTAGGTTAGTGTGAAAAACCATAAAGGAACCTGGTGGCTACAGTTGGGTCACCTCGGTACGTACTTCATGACTCCTCGGGGGTCCCTTACCAGATGGACCACCTTCAACTCTCTCTCCTTCTCCATGAGCTCCATCACGGTCAGCAGACGAAGACGTACCACCTACGAGGGGAATAGAAGGTCGATTAAAAAGCATATGAGGACCCCACCGTAATGTCAAAACTACGTAAGGCAGGAGAGACGGAAGAACACTGGTAGTTGAGGGTTATCTTGACTAGCTAAGTTTGAAGAGTTACAACGTGGCCTTGTTAGTGAGGGGGGGGGGAGGTTGGGGAGGTGGGGGATTAACTTGGTGTTGTTGAGAAGGTAAACACTAGATACTTGCCAAGAGTTTATTGTATTTGATAAGGAAACACCCTAACCTATACCCAACCTAACCTATACCCAACCTAACCTATACCCAACCTAACCTATACCCAACCTAACCTATACCCAACCTATAACCTGACAGCGTGGGCGACGAGTAACCAAACAACGCCATCCACTATCGCAAACCACACACCTCACTTACCGCATCACCCAGTACTAGCCACACTACACCACCGCCACACCACTGTTTTACCATGCTATATACCACCACTGCGACACCATAGCACACCACACCTTCATAGCATTACACCTCCATACCAGTGCACACCACACCTCCATACTATAGTACACCACTCTGTACCACCACCATACAAAATATACCACACCACACCATTTGATACCACCATCGCCTTAACACCATTTCATCCACCAACTACCTTGATTACATGTTGAGCGGAGGTTCTACAGACTTTGCTCACGAAGCTGGGATCTATGCACTTGCGGACGGGTGTGCAAGTCTTCATTAGGTGGACATTCGCATTCCTGTAGAATTCCTGTTGATACATGTTTTTTACTTGGTGTGGGTAAGGATAGAAGTGACAACGTAGGAGATCAAATAAGTACGTTTTTATCTGCTTTTGGGTGTCATAATCATTGATATCATTAATTTTGTCATCGTCGTCATCATCGTCATCATCATCATCATCATCATCATCGACGTTGACTATTGTCTGTTGCCATCTGTGTAGCGGCTCGTAGCTGAGTGAAGGAATGTGTTTATTTAGTCTCTTGGTTAACGAAATAATTGTTAATTTTAGTTATTACAAAAGTTATAGTTGACATGGCACTAATGACTACGAGAGAAGGAAGAGAACAACAAGAGATTTATGCTAATTACCTGAGACATCACAACCAACTTACCTGTAAAACGTGTTCTTGATAGGTAACGCCAGCATCTCCCCGAGGAAAGTGGAGCCGCTTCTCCAGGAGCTCGTCAATAGGACGGGTTGAGGGAAGACGTGTACCTCTTCGTCATAATCATCTTCCTCTTCCATATTGAAATATTTTGTATTATCTTTTGTTTTGTGTTGCTTTTTGCTGCTCTTCTTCCTTTCTTTCGTCTCTCTCTGCTGTTTACCTCGAGAGATACGTAAATTTTGCATCTTCTTGGATAACCGTGCACCGCCATCAGTCATGCGTCTTCTCCGTGCACCGCCATCAGTCATGCGTCTTCTCTTCCGGCTGGTGTGTGTCTTGAAGGAATGTGGATCGTTAGTGTCTTCTCCCTCTCTCTCCTTAACCACATTCTCGTCAGCATCATGTTGGTCCCTCGGTGTAGTCTCCTGATCGGGCTTAATGGTCAGAGACTCTCCTGACAGATGGGTGACCTTATTCTCCTGAATAATTTGATTGATTTCTGTGTTTTGATTTAGCTGACTGATGTTGGTACTTTTTTCTGATGTTTTCTTTTTATCGAGGTATTTTTCAGTATAATCGTCATCATAAATCAGGCCAGACAGCTCCTCTGTAGCGTCTTCTTCAGGGTATGGGCGAACTGATTCGGCCTTGTGAACCTCGTCGAGATGGTCTATACTTGATTCATTCAGTTCACTTCCTTGATCTATCCAGAGGTCTTGTTTCTCTTTTGAAAGCAGTATCTTGTTAGAAGTTTTATTCCTCAGTGACTCGTAACTTCTTTCCACGAGGTAAAGACTGACTCCTGGCCAAGCTGAATACATGACCATCGTCGCTGCCGTCAACCCAAGCAACATCTTGCGACCGGTCACCAGCCGCCGGTACATGACTGGGGCCTCGCTACCGCTCCTCTTCTTCCTAGGAACACAAATGTAATACAAGAATGACTTTACACTGATAAACCAAACATACATATACTATACATATATATATATAGCAAGGCAGAAACTTTAGATTAACAAGTTACCTCCTGCAGCTCTCCCTAACTACCTCAGTAAAGTTCATTCCAACACACACACCTAGTTATAACAGCTTCATCTGGTAATATTAAACTTTGGTTTATGTTACTTAACCCGTCGAGCGCTAATCCAGTACTTATACGGGATGGGTGACCAGCCACAACCAGAGCTAATCCCGTAAAGTGCGTGGCTAGATTTAGCATTGTCCTGAACTCGTATTTTTGGTAGTAGTGAGATGCGCTTAGAGCTACATTATCACCCCCTCCTTGCCATCATCATTAACTCGAATACGCTGGATAGCTTCAAACCTAGGTTGGATGCTTATATGAACAATAGGGGTTGGGTGTAAATGGGACTGCCCAGTATGGGCCAATAGGCCCGCTGCAGTTTCCTCCATTCTTATGTTCTTGCCTACTGGTATACTGCTTCCCAAGCCACGTAGCTCCACGCTCTGCATGCCACAGCGGCGACAGTGTTCATCACCGTGAATCAAGCTCACGCCAGCCACTCATGAACACGTCACACCGCTCTCGCTCCCGGGACAGGCGGAATACTCGCAACTCGCTGTCGAGTATGAGTTTACATCAGAGTTTACCCCAGATGATTTTTCCGAGTCTGATAATGACCCACTCTATGATCAGAATACTTTATATTCTTGTTGAAGTGGTGAGGGGGATGTTTCAGACGTACTGGCAAGAACGACATGTAACACCTCGTAATCCAGCTCGTGACACACCTCTCCACCTCCGAGGTCGCCACTTTCCTTCCACCTTACCACCAAACACCTGGCAAGAAGAAAGCACAGAAGTAGTGTCACGTCTGCTATAACACGTCACGAAGAGCAAAGAAGAGGAAGGATACTGGTTACTGCTGTAATGAGTGTAAAGTAGCACCATGGTTCAAGGACTATCACACTCTTCAGAACTATTAGTGTAATAATATGATGTGAACCAGGCAGTGGCAGTGATGCCATGACACCCTCCGTAGCCTTCACCATTCACAGATAATACCCAATTGTATGCAAATTGGGGGAAATTGGATAAGCAAACAAAAAAATATCAACACATCGCGGCGTTTTATTCATTTTCTAACAAGCATATTGAATAATGATTGATGTGGGAGGAATAACCAGAAATAAAACGAAAGAAACACACACACGAGGTGTTAGGAAAGTGGAGAACTGTCACAGTGGCGTGGGGGGAGGAGCATGACTTGGCCGATTGCGGTGATGGGCGCCTTGAGACACTCCATACCTCCTCTTCCACCACCACCACAGTGTTACCACACAGACGTGGAATTTTTATGATTTTCATATTTCCTGGACCAAATTGAGATGATTTAGGGATTTTTTTTGTGGGGGGCACCGGGATGTCTAATATTGGCTGGCGCTCAACAGGTTAATATGTCATTTCTGTATTAAATGGTTCATTAAAGATCAAACATAATTCACCAATTTAACAAAGAACAATTAAGGTTACTGTAACAAGAGAAATAAAAACAAAATTGGTATATATAGATCGGTAAATATTTAGTAGTTGCCAGCACTTACTTATATATCGAGTCTTATATAGGGAGGTAAAGAAAAAACTAACATTAATTTATACTACAACATTTGTGTCGGAAATATATATTTTTCGCATATTTTAACCGATATGACTCAACCCCCCCCCACTAAATTGCTAACAATATTGGTTCTTAGGAGTGAGCAGGGCTTTGAAGTAGAGGGAAAATGTGGGGTAAAATACGTAAGAGAATTTTAAGACATTTTTTTCTAGGACGTTTCCCTCGCAAACGACATGTATGCCGGGAGGGGAGGGCAGTTAGGAGGTTAGGTCAGGTCATTTGCGAAGGAAAAGTCATAGAAAAAAGTCTTATAATTGTTTACACTACGGATTCCAAAATGGGAAAGACTAAACTATGCGTAATATTTCTATGTCTATTTCCCTCCCCAACACTATTTTACCATCGCCCGCTAGATGTCGTATGTCCCGTATCCATTATTTGCAACAGAGACGTTACCGCTACATTAGGTGATTAATAGGGGATAAAATGAACGAACATAATCTAGGTTAGGTTTAGTAGATTGGTTAAGGTTAGCTAATGTAGCGTAGCTGGTATTACGAAAACTCTTCAAGACTTTCCCGGGCTGCTAATTAAGGTGCACATCCGTCACAAAGTATTATCAAATAAACTACCTGTAATAAAAAAAAAAAAGGTGAATATCTCGTCCAACACACAAAACACCATGATGTTAGACTGATCCTTACCGTAACTCAGACAACAGTGAAGTGGTGATGATAATAACAATCTGACCTGTTGCTCGTGTAGTAATCACAGGAATAAAATTAACTCGTCGATATTCAGAGGATGTATGGTGAGCAGACCCCCAGCACTTGTGGTTGACTGGTTCCCGGCAGCAGCTCGAGTAGTCTGAGTGTCTGTGTACAAGTTGAAGGTCTTTACTAAAATGACAAACAACATGCGCACTAAAAGTCTTCGATTCATATTAATTTGGTTTATAAAGCGCTAAATATTTATAAAACATGTCTGACGAATTTAATATTATCATTAATTTAGAATTTTTATATTGCAAAGAAAAAATACAAAACCTACGGCAACTTGACTTAGCATTTGTGTAATGTTCGAAATTTTCAAGCTTCATGAAACAACGATTACGAAATTTGCTAAGGGATGGGCGGGGGATGAACTTTGAATGAACCATACCTAGGGATGGGCGGGGGATGAACTTTGAATGAACCATACCTAGGGATGGGCGGGGGATGAACTTTGAATGAACCATACCTAGGATGGGCGGGGGATGAACTTTGAATGAACCATACCTAGGGATGGGCGGGGGATGAACTTTGAATGAACCATACCTAGGATGGGCGGAGGATGAACTTTGAATGAACCATACCTAGGGATGGGCGGGGGATGAACTTTGAATGAACCATACCTAGGGATGGGCGGGGGATGAACTTTGAATGAACCATACCTAGGGATGGGCGGGGGATGAACTTTGAATGAGCCATACCTAGGGATGGGCGGGGGATGAACTTTGAATGAACCATACCTAGGTCTTGTTGAAATAAGAGATAATTAATATTTTCTGTACGTTCACGATGAGCTGAAGCGTTCAATTAGTGATGCTATCATCTTTACTTGTATGCTTATGCTTAAATAATTTATATTTACTAACATCCCCAAAACAAATTCTACACACAGCCAGGAGGAACGCACAGCATCTGTCTCGATGCTTCCTCACCTGCCGCCTACCCTGACCACCATCGAGTTATTTGTAACACAGGTAATATCAGTTTAATTAACAAGTACAGTCAGGTATATACGGACAAATACAGGTGTTAGTGTAAAGTACAGGTGTTGGTGTGAAGTAGAGGTACAGTAATAACACTTTATAGGTAATTAATATGGTGTCTTAACTTAAATATAATAAATATACAAATATGATTATTTTTCGTATTCGTTTCCTAATGATGGTAAATAAACGATTATGAAAAGAAAAGTATCTTAAAGTTATCAAATTATTTCCTTATCGTCCCCAATACAAACTACAAAGAAAGGTTTATATTTCATCTAGCAAAGTATTCGATGAATCACATATTCTTAATGAGATACAATTACCAGACAAGTTATCTTTGCTCCCTGGATTCCTCTTCTCTTCCTCACCACACCTGATTACGTTATATACTCGACATGGCTGTATATCAAACCAGGTTATTTATATAGTGTCTTCAGTTCCCTATTACTAATCTATGTGAGGTAGTTCAGTCTTATATTAAGAGTATTAAGGAACTCGGATCTTCATGCAATAGGCAATAAATACCTCGAGTTATTGAAGGCGTACCACCCTATTATTGCCTATTTCAATTACTTCCTATTGACATTCTGCTTTAAGGGAGCTCCAGAGGGTTCTTGGATATAATTTTTTTTATTTTTTCTTCAGACTGGAGATAAAGTTTAAGATGACAAAATTGACAACTTGTGTAACCAATGACGTGAGTTACTGTTCTGTTCACTAATAATGCTGCAGTGTTTATTATGCTTAGTATGCTGCAGTGTTTATTATGCTTAGTATGCTGCAGTGTTTATTATGCTTAGTATGCTGCAGTGTTAATATGCTTAGTATGCTGCAGTGTTTATTATGCTTAGTATGCTGCAGTGTTAATATGCTTAGTATGCTGCAGTGTTTATTATGCTTAGTATGCTGCAGTGTTAATATGCCTAGTATGCTGCAGTGTTAATATGCTTAGTATGCTGCAGTGTTAATATGCTTAGTATGCTGCAGTGTTAATATGCTTAGTATGCTGCAGTGTTAATATGCTTAGTATGCTGCAGTGTGTATGCTGGTTTTATTATGCTTATGCTGCAGTGTTTATTATGCTTAGTATGCTGCAGTGTTAATATGCTTAGTATGCTGCGTGTTAATATGCTTAGTATGCTGCAGTGTTTATTATGCTTAGTATGCTGCAGTGTTGTATGCTTAGTATGCTGCAGTGTTTAATGCTTAGTATGCTGCAGTTGGTATGCTGCAGTGTTAATATGCTTAGTATGCTGCAGTGTTTATTATGCTTAGTATGCTGCAGTGTTAATAGCTTAGTATGCTGCAGTGTTAATATGCTTAGTATGCTGCAGTGTTTATTATGAGTATGCTGCAGTGTTAATATGCTTAGTGCTGCAGTGTTTATTATCTTAGTATGCTGCAGTGTTAATATGCTTAGTATGCTGCAGTGTTTATTATGCTTAGTATGCTGCAGTGTTAATATGCTTAGTATGCTGCAGTGTTTATTATGCTTAGTATGCTGCAGTGTTTATTATGCTTAGTATGCTGCAGTGTTAATATGCTCAGTATGCTGCAGTGTTAATATGCTAAATATGCTGCAGTGTTAATATGCTTAGTATGCTGCAGTGTTAATATGCTTAGTATGCTGCAGTGTTTATTATGCTTAGTATGCTGCAGTGTTAATATGCTCAGTATGCTGCAGTGTTAATATGCTAAATATGCTGCAGTGTTAATATGCTTAGTATGCTGCAGTGTTAATATGCTTAGTATGCTGCAGTGTTAATATGCTTAGTATGCTGCAGTGTTTATTACGCTTGTGTGATGATTTTTGGAAATATATACTTCATGTTTTTTCGGTTATACGTTACTTATTATAGATTGTTTAACCATTATCCTTTATTTTTTAATATTTAGGTACGTAAACATCCGGGTTCTAGTAACGAATATAAATTACATTAGAAATTCCTTTGAATAGATAAACACATCAGATTATTATTGCTCACCACTGACAGTTAATGTAAAGTATTCATGGAAATTTCCCACAAAGAGATAATCATAAAATAACATTCAATTTATAGTGGAATTCAATTACATGTTTGTTATGCCAGAATACATCGACATATATCAGTTGTTTACATCAATCCCAAACAAACGTGAGAGATAAGAGATTAAAGTTGAATATATCAGCCACTGTAGTTATGACCCTCAACACTCAGAGTGAAATATGAGTCTTGTTCAACTACTAGACCGAACTGTAGTGTGTTGGTTAGTGAGGCACTCGTCCACCCACTGTCCGATGTTGTCGATGAACCTTTCAGATCGATGTTTTTGTTTTGTTTTTCAAGTTCATAAACCAAATTAACCCCAAACCATTTTAGCGACAATGACAAGGTTTTACAGTGGGGGCCTGGAGTGTGTTCCAGGAATTAATTTTGGCAGTCATCAGTGTTCGGCTCTCAAAAAAAAAAAAAAAAGAAAAAAAAACTAATGTGACGAATGCGACCTCTGTTACCATTCGACATTATCGTTGCCATAACAAACACTTAGGCTTCTCTTAATATATATTTACAAGGTGAGAGTGTAGGTCCCAAGGATATACGTAACTGCACGTTGAGGACTTGTGGGTAACAGTGCACATAGCGATAGCGAGGAGAACACAACAGTGACTACACTCGACTGCTCTCGCTTCCTCAATTGTAGTGGACAGGGTGGTAATGGCTGGCAGGAACGAATCAAGGCAACAGGCGAGCGTTGTGTTCAGTCGGCCGCCATATCCTTTATTTACACAGGATAAACTACTAAAAAGACCTAAATAAACTTGTTAGATTAGTGGTGACGATGGTAGGTTCATGGTTACGTAGATACTGATAATTGAGGACTGAAGAAAGATGTTTTATCGTTGAAGAGTTTGTGTTTGTTTACGAGTACATGTAGCAAATTGTCTCTGTTTAAGGGATACTGGCTTCAATATTTAGCCACCTATACATCAGCGAGGCTTAAATTAAATAACATTAAACAAAAACAGTTAAAAAAAGAGAAATAACGACACGAAATCATCAAAAGCCAATTAAATTATCTTAAATTAATTAAAACATATAAAGTAGAATAGATAACAGTGGAAGAATAGAAACATTCGAATTGTAATTAAGAATTCCATTAAAAGATTGATTACCGCTGATTGCCGGAATAACTTTGATTTAGAAAAGTATGAAAATGTGGAAGTGTTCTGTGATACATATTTCCGTCAGCACAGAGCGGTAATATCCTCCCCACAGTTTGTCCAAATATAGAATATGAATTTATAATGAAATCCCCCTTGTATAAAGAAGAATTTTAAACTGATGAAAACTACCGTAAATTCTGATTAAATATCGAAATATAATTTATCGGGTGATTTTAGAAATTAGTTCTGCGCAACATGTAATGATTCCCCTGTTTGGCGACATTTCCCACCAACTGAATTCTATCATATTTTAATTTTTCTAAACCCATGACGTATTCGATGATTATGTGGAGCAACTGTAAGGCGAGTTTTATCGTTAAGCCTTATCACTGGTGGCATTCCGAGCTCTGCGTCCTCAGCTGTGTATTGACGTTATAATGCATTACTTCACTATGATAACTAAGGTCTTGAAAGTGCGTATTCCAGGTTACTATATACACAAAAAAGAGATATTTTTCTCTTGGTGCATAATGTAGGGGGAAAGGAGGAGGAAGAGGAGGAGGAAGAGGAAGAGGAGGAGGAGGAATAAGAAGGAGAGGAGGAGAAAGGGGAGAAGAATGAAGAGGATTAAGAAGAGTAGGAGGAGGTGGTGGAACAGGGGTAGGAAGAGGAGGAGGAGGAGGAGGAAGAGAGAGAATGTTACGTAGGGTTTTTAAGGCTCCCGACTTGGGGGGTGTCACGCTTGGCTCACTCTTTGGTGGAACTTAAATCGGGCAGAAAAATATTTGTCTTCAACTTTTATCCGCCAAAAGTTATATAATCAGTAGGAAGGGATACCTCACCTATACCCCCTCCTACCTCCTGTATCTCTCTTCCACTTATCCTCCACTTCTCCACTTTCTCTTCCACCTCTCCTCAACCCCCTTTCTACCTTCTCTTATCCCTATAAAAATCTCTTCTCATTTACCTTTTATTCTCTCCTCCTTTTATCCATTATTTACATCTGGTCAAAATCATGATAATTTCTCATCCAATTTGCTTCATATTTGCAACAAGTCGCTTTAGCTGCGTACTGTGTGTGTGTGTGTGTGTGTGTGTGTGTGTGACTGTGTGTGTGTGTGACTGTGTGTGTGTGTGTGGTCTCCAGTATATAGTATTAGTTCCTGTTACCAACGCAGCCCACAGCAAACACTATGGAAAAAAAACAAAACAACATGTCAGGTTACAAAAAAACAAAAACTAAAAGAAAGAAAATAAGAGAGATGGTTCACAAAGATAAACAAATTAGACAAGGAAAATAAACAAGCTAGATCACACAAACAATTTAGATAGATTAAAAATCCTAATTAGATGAATTAACAAAAAAATTAGACTAACACACAAACAAACAATAAAGAACACGTAAACAAACAAGTAAAGTCACACAAACAAACAAGCTAGACCACAAAGGTAAACAAGAATAAACAAACAAGGCAACAAAGCCACACAAATAATTCTAGACACCATAGATGAATGAACCTCCGTATGAGCGAACCTTTAGATGAGTGAACCTCCGTATGAGCGAACCTTT